ATGTTGCCCCAGCACTGACCCCTCCCGCTCTCAGCCTGGAGGGCAGGGGGAGTTTGGCATCAGGAGTCGGGGTCACACCTGGGCAGAGAGACCTCCCTTGAGCCGGTGTCCCTTCACTGTGAGCCCCTCCGGCCTCCAGAGCGGCTCCTCTCCCCGTCTCCCACCACCCCCGGGGCTGGCGGAGCCGCTCCCTGCTCGGAGTCAACGAGCAGTTCTTCCGCCCGTCGTGGAGTGTCTGCAGGTCCGCGGCCGCTGCCTCGGCTGCTCAGGGCTTCCTCCTGACAGTGCCCACCCCGCAGGGAAGGGGGCTGCGGCGGGATGGCTCCTCCTCGGCTCCAGAGGGACAGGACACCCTCAAGCATCTTCCTAACACTTCTCTCATTGCTCCCAGGACTTGATATGTGTTCTGTTAAACATAGAAGGGCCCCTTGACAGCGCTGGTGTGAGGGCACCAGGGTACCCCTGGAGGGTCTAGTGTTGCAGTAGCCTTTAGAAAACCTTCAGGTTTCTTCCAGTTATAAAAAATACTACTCATAATTCAAGCCGTGGTGTAAACGAAAAATGCGAACCATGATTGGGGGGGGGTGGTCAGGGATGAGAAAGACTCAGGGATGCTGGTGGCGCACATTGCACGATAATGAAAGTGACTTTGCATTTTGTAAGGGTCCATGCTGATGTTCTCCTTCGGGGCTAGATGCTGGCTCCAGGGCAGGGCAGGAGGGACGCTGGGGGCTCTGCCAGGGGGTCTGGAGGAGCAGCCTTGAGGGCTCCTCACTCCTCTCCCTGCTCTTCTGAGTCACCTGATGGGCAGTGGCCCATCCTGTCCTGTGGTTGGGGTGGAGAAGCTGAGAGCCTGGCCCAGTCCACCCCAGAGCCCTTAACCAAGGGTTCCCGCACAGGGCTCCACCACCAGATGGCCCTGTGGCCTTGGGCAAGCGGCTTCCCCTCTCTGAAAGTGATGCGCCTCCTTGCAGGGTAGCTGTGAAGGATCCTGGGGATGTTAGGGGTAAGAGGCCCAAGTTGACCAGCACTGTGGCTGTCCCTGCCAGCGTCCCCACACTCCCCTTTTACAGATGGGAGAGTAAGGCTCAGAAAAGAGAAATAGGGGATGTGTGGGAAGGCAGACCCTTCCCCCAACTCTGAGATCTGAGTGTCTCCCACCTTACAGCTCACTGTCCACTCAGGGCAGGCAGGGCCAGGGGGCCCTAGGGTTTGGGATCACTGGGGGATGAGCCTGGCTCAGCCTATTCCTCTGGTCCCCACAGAGCTGCTGAAACCACCCAAGGCTAAGGTCCTTGAGCCCTTGGAGCCCACTGCCCCCGAGGAGTTTCCTGAGCCCGTGAGGCCATCGGCTCCCCCCTCGGAGCTGGAGGTGCCAACCTCGGAATGTGTCGTGTGCCTGGAACGGGAGGTGAGTCTGGCAGTGGACCCAGCCCCCAAGCCCAGCATCCCCCTGCCCCCACCTGCCCTACCCCCGCGGCCGTCCTGATCCTCTCCAGGCACGTGTGTTCTTCCTGAACACTTGTTCTAGTTGGGTAAGTATACCATGTTCATTAGAAACTTTGGAAAATACAGGAAAGCAAAAGATACAGGAAATAAAAATGACCCATGATCCCATGACCCAAACGTGAGCAATGCTAATGTCATTTTCTGGGTCTTTTTTCAAAACGAGGTTTCCCTGCTTAATAAATGCATTAAGGAAAATTTCCCAAATCATTAAATATCAACACAATTTTCTCTGAAGAGGCTTTTTAAAAAAACTGTCTTTTTAAAAAAACGAAGGAAATTAACGCAGTGTAAAAATTAAACAACATAGCATGTAAAATAAAAGACCTTCCTTCCCTCCACCCTTTGCTCCTACTTAGAACAGGCGACCGTGTCAGCCGTGTGGTTGCCCATGGTGTCTGCCAGACCCGGGACTGCCATAGTAGGGAGGGTCTCATTTACAAATTTTACCGAGTGTCTGCTTTCGGGCCGCGTCGGCGGCTTCGTTTCTTCCTCTTACCAGCAGTGCTGTGCTCAGCAGCCTGGAACAGACTTGGGAGCACACCCTCGCTTATTTCCTGCGGGTAAAATTCCCAAAGGGGAAACGCTGAAGCAAAGCAGAGACATGCTTCCGTGGCTTTTGATCCTTAATGTCAGAGCGGTTTTCAGACCAAGGCGGCACAGCTGGGCAAGTGCACAGAAAACACAGAATGGGGCGCAACCTAGACGTCCGGCCGTGCTGGGTTGATAGCTGCGGGCCTGCAGAGGGGCGCCCATGGCTGCTGTGCAGAGAGAGGACGCGAGGGGCGCCCGGGATAGGTGGTCGTATAGATTCCTGCACTGTCTGGGTGGTATGTGACAGCCAGAGGATCAGACTTTTAAGGTACAGAACAGCAAGAGGGCCAGGGGGCCTCAGGTACGCCATCCCCAGAACCAGGCAGGGCCAGGCCCAGACGCCCCCGCTCTCTCCCCACAGGCCCAGATGATCTTCCTCAACTGCGGCCATATCTGCTGCTGCCAGCAGTGCTGCCAGCCACTGCGCACCTGCCCGCTGTGCCGCCAGGAGATCGCCCAGCGCCTCCGGATCTACCACAGCAGCTGAGTGCTGGCCGCCAGCTCAGGCCTGGCCCCACCTCGCCACCTCAGGCTCGGGGCTCCAGCTCACCCCCTGCTCCAGCCAGACTAGTACGACTCCTCTCTGACCTGGGCGCTTTCCCCGCAGCCTGGGAAGGCGCCCCTAGCCTGAACTCCAAGTGCATCTGGGCCGGGAGGGGCAGGGAGAGTTCCTGAGCGATGGCGTTGCTGGTCTGAATACTGCGGAGGAAGAGAGAAGACCCCTCATGGCGCAAGGACAGGGTCTGGGGTGTGGAGAGGCAGCTGTCCATATCTGAGCACAGGACTCAGTGTCCTGGCCAGTGTGGCTCTGCCCCTCCAGGAGGCTTGATGTCCTCGTCAGGGGAACATGGACAGTGCCGTCCCACTCGGCAGGGTGCTGGGAGAGCAGGAGGCCGCTGGCGAGGGGAGGGGAGCCCGGGGTGAGGCTGGTATGCAGTGTGGCGCTAGGCCACCATGGGCTGTCCTCGGATTGACCAGCCGGAATGTGTTCAGTGCAGGCCTTGTGCCACAGCAGCGCCACCCCTGCCTGCTTGCCTCTTCTGCTCCCCAGCGCTGCAGGCCCTTCTTTCCCGATCTGCACCTCCTCACCCCACGCGGCTCACGGGCAGGCAATGAGCTTTGCAGACCCAAAGTGGACCATCAATAAATCCACCTCCAGCCTGCTCCTTTCGAGTCGTCGCTGGGTCCTCACGGAGCCCGGGAGGGGAAGGGCTCGGGTGGGGGCCCAGGGAAGACGCTGCACCTCATCCAGCAGAGAGGAGGTGGAGGCCTTCCCAAACGTGAAGTTACGCCGACGATGCTGGTGGAGAGACCGAGGCTCGAGAAGGGCAGAGTCAGCAGGAGCAGGTTGTACTGCGCAGGCCTGGGCTCTGCGCTCCATTCTCACCATCCCAGATGAGGGAGCCGAGGTTGAGGGGGCTGAGTGCTGGGGGCCTCCCGACTGGGACATGGCGGTGCTGGGTTTGGAGCCCAGACGCATCTTGACTCCCAAACCCATGCGGTTGTGCGGGTTGTTCATTGCACGGTTGTAGAGACCACGCGCCTTGTACTTGCTGTAGAGTTGCACGTTTATTGTGCATTTTCTGGCAGATGGTTTTGAGCCAAAGGCAGCTTCTCTGGGCTGGAGGCAGGCCTGCTTGGGGTGCCGGGGGCCTCCAGCTGACTCTGAAGGAGGCCAGCCCTCCAGACTCTATCTCCCCGTCCATTTAGTACAGGCCGGGATGGGGCCCTGAGGTAGGCCAGTGGCCACCAGGGGGCACTGAGTGCTCACTCCAGGGGCAGTGCCCTGAGTGGGCTGGACACTGGGGACAGACCCTGGGGTGGCAGAAAGAGCCCTGTCTCCGCTGGGCCTCAGTCTCCCTACCTCATTTTGACTGTCAGTCCTGTAGGCTGAAACGGGATGGGGAAGGCCATTGTGGTGTGAGTCCTGCTCTTCAGGCAGGAGCCGGGCCTCTTCCCACAATGTCCCCCTCCCCACACACCCTCCTGGGCTCCGCTTGGCCGAGAGGGGAGACCGAGGCCCGAGGTGGGCAGGGCCACTTCTCAGAGCACAGCGCTGTGTGGCTCTCCTCGAATCCTCACTAGGCCCTGGGAGAAGGGGCTTTTATGATCCCTTTTTCAGACGAGGAGCCTGACTTGCCAAGGACAACAGCAGCTGATCCCTGGTCTCCAGCCCCACAGCCCCTGCTGCTTCTCACCTGAGTCCTTGTTGACAAGCCCTCGGCCCCTGGCCACTGTATACAGGCTGGCACCAGGGAAGCCAGCATCCCCTAAGGTGACTGGCTGCCATCTCACCCAGGAGAGGCATGTTTTTACCCACGGATGGGGCAGCCCATCCCCAACAGCCATGTGGGGGTGTGTGGGGGGGTCTATCCTCATGCCCCATAATGTCAGCCAAGGTTGCCCACCTTCCTGGGCCTCAGTTTACGCATTGGTGGAACGGTAGTGATGATGGTCCCCACCTCTTGGAGCCGCCTTGAGGCTCCTGGTCCAGCACAGCCCACGGCAGGTGCTCAGTAAGTGCTGGCTACATGATCAGGAGTCAGACGCTGGCCTCATCGTCTGGATCCAGCATGAGCCCAGGGACCACCCAGCTGTGGACGCCCAGGGCCAAGTGGCTAAGTGGCCTAAAGCTGCTGCTGTCCCTCTTGGGCTCACCATCGCCCAGGCTGCTTTGAGGAAGCCTCCTGAACTGCCATCAGGCCAGTCACTTACGCGCCCTGCCTGCCTTCTCTCTGAGCCTGTTTCCTCCTCCGTAAAGTGGGATAATCTAAGGACTCCCACGATGTGCCTGGAGGTCCTCGGTTGAGCGAGGAGCACAGAAAGCCCCAGCGTGCACGGGCGCTCCTGGACGCAGCCCCCAGGCCAGGCCTCCCCTGCCCACACCACACACAGGCTGCTGGCTTTATATAAAGCATTTATTGATTAGTAGAAGCTTAAACAGTTTGCATAATATTTTCAATACGTTATCTGGAAAGGATGATTGGAGAACCCCAGAAGAAGGCACTAGAAGAGAGCATCTTAAGACGGAATGTGTTGGTGGAGGAGGTTAGTGAGGCGTTTGAGATTAGGGCTGGGGGGACTGGGGAGTCCCTGAGCACCAGCCACCGCCACACGTTCTGTGGGTCCAAGGCCCCGGCCCTGGGAAGTGGAACAAGGGGACGGAGGATTGGGGGGGGGGGGCGGGGCGCCAGCCACCCTGAGGACCCTGAAGTCGGGTTCTCCCCTGCCTGCCCTCCACTCAAAGCAGCAGGGGAGGGGGTCTGGGGAGGCCAGGGGGTCCCAGCCCCTGGGGATGGGAGCTGCCAGGCTGGGGTGCCTCAGCTTGACCCTCAACCCCAGGAACAAGAAGCTGAGGAAGAAGGACATTTGAAATGGGGCCTGGAGTTTTCAGAGTAGAGTGAGGTGACTTGGTAACTCAGAGAAAGCAGAGGCCAAGCCACAGTCTGACCCCAGATCAGAGTGGCCACCAGCGGTGCCTTGAGGAGCCACAGCCCCTCCTCCGCCCCTCAGGAGCCCCACCAGCTCCCTCAGTGGACAGCACGTACCTTGGAGGTGGCCTGCACAAGACAAAACCCACACCCACTAAACCCTGCCTCTGCGCAACATGCCACCCTCCCCTGAGCCCAGCCCAGCATGAGGGCACAAAAGCGGCGACAGAGGACTCCCAGAGACTGGATCCCAGCAAGCGGAGGGAGGCTGAGGCTGGACGGGTGGGAGCAGGGGGCAAAGGCCTGCTCCAGCTTCCAGCAGCCCTCCCTCTGCCATCTCACCTGCCTGGCAAACACTCCCAGTAACACCTGCTCCTGCCCCCTCAGCACACTTCCTCTCCCCAGACCAGCACATTCCAGGCCTTTCTCATTCCATCCCCACGCCCGTGGCCCTATCCTGCTCCATGATGCACCCCCAGCCTGGCTCCAGCCTGAAGACTCCTCATTCCTACCCCTCACGTGGAGCGGGGAAAGCGAGGCCAGTGCCCAGTCCAAAAGAAACTGGACTCTGGGGCCCATCCTGGAGGGGTGGGGAGGGAGCGGGGGCCCCGAGATGGGCCTCAAGGGTCCATCTTCCCAGTCCCAGCGAGCCCCTGGTGGAGAGGGGAGAGACTTCAAGGGCTGGGGCCCTCTTTCCAAGGATGGCAAGACCCATGAGGGAGACAGGCCACAGAGGAAGGGCAGGAAGGGAGGACCCAGGGAACGGGGGGGCTGGTGGGCACTCCCCAGCCCCTCAGCTGTGCCCAGCACCAGGAGGAAAGCTGAGATCATCCCACAGAAGAGAAAACGGAGCAACAAAGTGAGACCGAACCCAATAAAGTGACTCCGCTAGGCCCGTCCCCGCCCAGCCCTGGAGGTACCACCCCAGCCCTGCCCACCTCCACCTCCGGGAAGGCACAGATCCGGGGCTCCCTGCCCAGAGCCGAGCCTGCCAGTGCCTCGGAGGGAGTGGCCCATGTGCCATGTCCAACAGAGGCTCGGGGGTGAACGCCTAGAACTCAGTCTGCACCCCCGCGCTGTCCTCAGTGGTGGTGTGGATTGGGGGGCGGCCCCCGGGGTTGGACACCTGCTCCCCGGTCTCCTGGTCACTGGGCTTGGGAGGCTCAAGGTCCACAGCCTTTCCAGGTGGGATTTGCTGGAGCGGCGAGGCGAGTGGCGAGGAAGCCTCGGGGGCTGCCACGGACTGGAGGCTCTCCAGCTGGGGGCTCTCCTGCGCAGGGGCCCCGTTGGGCAGGGGGCCAGCTGGCAGGGGGCTCTCTGCCTGCAGATCCCGGGCCAGTAGGCCTCGGAGCTCAGTGACACTGTCCGGGGACGCAGGTGATGGTGGCTCAGGGCCAGCCTCGAAGGGCAGCCCTGCCTCCTCGTCCTGGACCACGGACACCACCTGCTTGGCACGCCGTCGCTTTTCCGAGAGAGTGGCTGCTTCCGGGATGCTGGGGCTGCCGCTGTCCTCCCCGCTGCCACTGTACTCCTCCCCCCAGTCGATGGGTGCACCCTCCGCCAGCAGGTGCAGGTTGGGGTCGCTGTTGTGCATGACCATGCTGTCGCGGTACAGGTTGTGTTTCCTCTGCACGGCGGCCTCCTTCACAGCTGCGGGGCCAAAGGGGGTGGGGGCAGGACATTTACCAAGGGACCCATGGCTGCCACCATACCCTACACTGTGCCCAAATGTGACCCCTATCATCCCCAAAGGCCTCTGACAGCCTGAGTGGGTGTCATGGTTGGGACGTGACTTACTCCAGGCCTTGCTGCTGAGAAGGAGGAGCTCTGACCCTAACCCCAAGCTGGAAACCACCGTGCGTGTCATCCTGTCACTCATCTGACACTCCCCACAATGCCAAGAGCCCAGGAAGAAACTAAGGCACAGAGACGCAATGTTACCCTCCCGGGGCCACACAGTGGACAGCAGGCCCTGCCCAGTCCACGGGCCTAAGTCTCATGCTTTTCTTTGCAGCTTAGCTGCCCCACCAGGAAAACCTCTGGGTGGGCACCCCCGTCCCCCTCCTGGCAATAGGAATGCCTTCAGCAGCACTGGGGTCGGGGCAATTGGCCCTCCTGAGTGGTGGGGTGGCACATACCCTGCAGGATGTCCTTCATCACCGTCTGCAGCACCACCTCCTCATACGTGTTCTCCACCAGGATGAACCTGGCAAAGTCCTCGAAGATCAGCTCCTGGAACCGGGGCAGCTCCTATGGGGCAGGGCGGGTGCAGGGGCAGAGAGAAGTGCGGTCAGGGCCGCCGGGCAGAGAGCGCATCTGTGGTCCCACCTGGCCAGCTGCACAGGCCTCCCCCAGAGAGGGGGCTGAGGCCCAAGCGGCTGGAGCGGGTTGGGGGTTGGCTAGGGGGCCGGGGGCGCTCACCGACTTGCAGGTGGGGGCCAGCTTCTTGAGCAGGAAGGGGATAGTGATCTGCAGCAGCGCCTCCCGGAAGAAGCGCTTCCGCACGGTGCTGCTGTCGTAGTCATATTTCTGACCGGGAAAGAGGGGCCAGGGTCAGCGGGCTCCACCAGCCCCTTTTGACCCGAGGCTCAGTGTCCCCAGCTGTACAAGGGGGTCGGTGGCGTCTCCTGTAAGGGCAGCAATCCTGGTCCCAGCCCCGGGACTAGGCTCAGGTCTGCCACAGCTTAGAGCGTGGGGCGGGGCCAGGGGGCGGGGCCGGGGCCAGGGGGCGGGGCCAGGGGCGGTGCTCACCTTTAGCACCCGCTCCAGGATGCGCTGGATGGACTTGCACAGCTCCTCCTTGCTGGGCCCCTTCCCCAGCTCCTGGTGCAGGAGGGTCTCGAAGGTGTACACGGCGTTGTCCATTTGCTGCGGGGCACACCATGGGCACGTGAAGGCCGGGAGTGACCCCAGCCCCTTACAGCACGCCTCTTGGGGGGCTCTTCAGCCAGCCACCCCAGGCCTGCCAGAGAGGAGTGGGGGCAGCCTGTGCGCTAGGATCATCCACATCTTTGAGTGCCTACTACGTGCTGGCACAGTGCTGGGCACCAGGGCCAGTCCCTGCCTCAAGGAAACAGGAAACCGAGGTCCTGGGCCCTGCAGGAAGGGGCTTGGGGAGCAAGGAGGGCTTCCTGGAGGAAGGGGTCCCTAAGCCAAGACTTGAAAGATGAGTCTGAATTAGCCAGGTGAACGGAGGGACAGGTGCTCCAAGGAGATGGGAGAGCACAGAGACCAGAGCAGGAGCGAGCACACAGACGCTGAGCACGGCAGCCGCGTGGAGGGCCAGGCGAGGAGTGAGGGGGAGGTGGAGGTGGGAACAGACAGAAGGCAGGCGTGGGGTGCCCTGGGCTGTGGGGTGAGCTGGGGAGGAGCCTCAGGCTCACCTCACGCATGTGGATCTGGGCTCGCTGCTTGAACACGGACGTGCTGGACACGTCGAACCGCTGCTGCAGCCCATCAAGCCGCAGCGGCTCCATCTTCTCATAGCAGCTCTGCATCTTGAGGGGGTGGTACGCCAGCTGGGACAGCTTCTCCATGTACTGCAGGAGGCAGCATGCGAGGGACCTGAGCTGGGGCCGCCTGGGAGTGAGGCAGCCTCCGCAGACCCAAGCCTCGCCTGGGCTCAGAGACCAGGCCCTGGAGCTGCCATCAGCACCAGGGAAGGCCACCTGGGGATGGTGCCCACAAGGGCAAGCCCTGGAGAGCCTGGGACAGGAAGGATGAGGATCTGAAGGCAGGAGGAGCCTGGTCCAGCACACAACAGCACGGAGAGAGGCCAGCCTGGACTATGGGGAAAGGGTTCTTGTCCATTCTGGGCCGCTGGGTGATCTTGGGCAAGTCACTCACCCTCTCTGAGCCTCAGTCTCAAAATCAAGAGATAGTTTTTTGTGATCTCTAAGGTCCTTTCCGGTTCTCAAATTCTGTATTATTGTCTGTGGACTCCTCAATTTGGGGTGTAGAAGAGATAGCTAAGATTACAGGATCGATTCTATCTGTACCTGACAACACTGTGGGGCTCCAGGCAGCCAAGAACCCCAATATGGGGTCTGTGAAAGGGCAGTGATCCTGAGAACCAGAGAACCGAGGGGCAGTGGGAGAGACGGGCTATCTCCACTCGTGGAGCACAGGAAATGGCATCCACATACTTAATTCCACCTTGACAACTACATTACTCATATCTGAAGCTCGTCTTTCCTTCCTTCTTTTCCTCCTCCCCTCCCTCCCCCTTCTCTGTTAAGTTCTTTGATATTTAACAACCCACGTGGCTTACAAAGGCTGGTGGCATGGGGTTAAGGTCCCCCTGCCGCCTAACTGCCCGCCCAAGAGGACAGCCAACAGCTTCGGCCTCAGGCACTCGGCCCGCCCTGGGTCTCAGCAAGGGCCTGACACGGGCAGACCAGACCCAAACCCAGGAGACGCTCCCCTCCCCAGGGGCCGGTGCCCGGCCTCACCTCGCCCAGCTTGTCAATGCCGCCCTCATTGATGACATTCAGGTTCATGTCGGTGACCTCCTTGAAGAAGACGTCCCGCACCTCGGTGAAGCCCTGGCTGGTGGGCACCATCAGGGCCTCCAGGATGGACGGGATGTAGGGTTGCACGTGGTTCCGGACACACACCTCCGCCTTGGGGAGGATGAAGCCTGCGCCCAGAGGGAGCCGTTAGCTCACACGTCCCGGGGAGCAGCTCCCAGCCGTCCCAGAACCCCACCACTAGAGGCACGCTATTGCATTCTCTTTAAGAGAACACCACTGGTGACAACATTAGCAAACTGAATGATTCTATAGAAACAGCTGCTAAAGATAATAAATCTATGCAACAAAAAGAACGGGCTACTGAGATTGGCCCCTGATATTTCTGAAACTGTGATGACAAGAAACTAAGAAAAATGCTAGTCTACAGGTGCTGGCAGTTTTTCCGCTTAGCTAGAGGTGGAGAAAAACTCATCTTTGGCGGTCTTGCTCCTTTGTTTTAAAAAAAAAAAAAAAGTAAAGCACTTCAGCAGATTCGATGAGCCTCTGGGCTTTGCAAACCCAGAGACCGATCCTGCTCTGGACGGGTGGCCCGGCTCGGTGCGCTATGTAAGGGCTGCTTCCCCGTGGGCAGGGACCATCTCCAGGACATACTGACCAAGGCATTTGTACCCAGGGAGTGTTTTGATGTCCTTCCCCCTCCTGTGCCCAGCTAATGTTGTTTGTTCCACAAAATAAATGTCAACTCTGGGTGTCCCAGCTTGCTCACAGTGAATAGAGAGAGCAGAGGATAACCCCCAGTCAACTGACAACCGCCAGAACCACACGCAGCCAGTGTGTGACAAGAGCGAAAGGACTCCATCCAGCTGGGAACAGAAAGGAACATAAACTGACCCGGAAAAGTAAGACCTGCTGACGTCTGCTGAAGGACACAGTAAAATCTGTGACTGGCCAAAGCTGAGGAGGCCTGACCCTCCTCGACGGAAATTTAGATTTTTAAGATCTAGGTTTATAGAAATAACAGCTACAAAACAGCTCACAGAGGTTAGAAAAGAAGAATGCTCAGATTTGACTTCAATCGTTTAAAACAATCCACGAATCAAGTCAATGCTGCGACATGTACACAGATCCATGAAACAGACAGGAGGTCTCCGCTGGCCCCTGGAGGGCAGGTGGTCCCAGCGTGTCTGCCCGGCGATGACCAGCATGGTGAGTAACCTGCCTACCTCGGATCTTGCTGGCCAGGTGCTCCTTGGAGGTGATGATCTGGTCCATGTCGGTGCGGATGACGGCCTCCATGGCCGGCCGGGCCAGCTGCAGCTTGGACAGCACGGCCTCAAAGCGCGCCTTGGCCTGCTCGTACACCATGCGGTACACAGCATCTGAGATCTGCAGGCAGAGCTGCGGTGTCAGCACCAGGCTGCGGGGAGGGGGGGCGCCCGGTGGCTGCAGGCACCCCGCCCCCGCGCCCGGGCCCAGGCCCGCCCACCTGGATCCACTGCCGCTGTCGCTCCTGCGGTTTCCCCTTCAGCCGCGGGGCAAGCTCTGCCTTCAGCTCAGGGCCGAGCTCCTCCATCACCAGGTTTGTCAGGATCTAGGACCAGGAGGCACAAGCCGGGGCAGGGGTTGGAGCATGTCCAGCTGGCATGTTCCTCTCTGTATTCCAGTAAGCCTAGCCACTCAAGCTCCCAGCTCCTCGAGGCTTGGCCCCTCGCTCCGTGTCTCCACTGAGCATCTCTCCTGAGTATGATTCCCACAGGTCCCAGCCTATCTGCTTGGGTGTCCTGCAAGATCCTCAGGCTCAGGGGTCCCACCTCAGGGCCTTTGCACATGCTGCCTTCCTGTCTGGAATACCACACCCCCATCCCCCTTGCCTAAGCACGGCAGTGTGTGTGTTTGTCAAATGTCTGTTTCTCCTGCCGTACAGAGAGCCCCCTGAGGGCCAGGGCTACGTCCCTCTTGTTCATAGGGACACCCTGGCACCTAGTCTGGGCTTGGCCTCCACCTGTTGGAATCTGAGCTCGTCATCTCCGTCCACACTTGCAGTGCCCCAGAGCCTGTCTGTCCAGCCCCACCCACTGGACCCTGGGGTGACTTCCAGTTTCCCCGCCGGCCCTCCTGGCCTCACCTGCACCTCGTTCCCACACAGCATCTCCCAGGTGCCATACAGCTCCTTCGACTGGCGGTACATGCGGATGGCATCCGTGAACGCGGGGCCCTCCACCTTGGAGTCCTCAGGGATCCCTGCGCAGGAGAGGGAGGGAAAGAGGAAGTCGGTGGGATGGCCCAGCGGCCTCCACCAAGACCAAGTGATGGCCCAGCCCCACCCCGACCTGCGACCCCACCGCCCTCGTGGTAACTGTGGCAGGAGGAGCGGCAGTGACAGGCACAGGACAATAACCCACCACCGACGCCGCGAGGCAACCCTCCTTATCATCTTAAATCCTCTCACCCGCCCCAGGACGTGCGCACTGTCCTTAACCCAACTTCGCAGATGAAAACACAAACAGGCTTCAAGGTCAGGCCGCTGCCGAGGGTCCAAGGGCCACGAATGGCAGAGCCAGGACCAGAGGCCACCCCACCCCACCAGGAGAGGCTGCCCAGCACGGCGGAGCGGGCGCCTGAGGCACCCGGAGACCCTCGTTCCGGTCCTGCTCCCTCCCCTTAGTGGCTGCATCAGGGGCCTGCAAATTTCCCTGCAGAGGGCCAGACAGGAAATACCCTCAGCTTTGCAGGCCACACGCTCTCTGTTGCAGCGGCTCAGCTCTGCCACTGCAGCAGGAAAATGGCCACAGAAAACCTGAACGGATGAGCCAGTAAAACTTGATTTACAGAAATAGGCGATGGGCCGAGTGTGGCCCAGGGACCACGGTTTGCCAAGCCCTGTTCCAGCCCGAAAGGGCTTCAGTTTCCTCTTCTGAACAGTGGGAACAATGACCCGGCCCTCACACACCCACCGTGAGGCTCCAGGGGCCGTGGGGTGGGGATGGGCTGTGAACTGTGCAGTCCGGGGCCCCAGTGCAGGCCCCGGGGCGGTCCTGAGTCGTTCTTTATTAGTAACTGCAGCCAGGAGCGGCTCTTGCTGCCCGTGGGCTGGCCCTGGTCTGCCGTGTTCACCACCATGCATCCAGGTCTGACTAGAAAACACCGTTTCTCTATTTTCGTTCTTGTTTGTGGTGGTGGTGGCCCAGAGGAGTTTGCCCACGTCCCCAGTGCTGGCAAGGTGGGTCGACGAATGAGGCGTGGCTGCAGGAGGTTGCAAAACCCGGCTTGAGGAAGAGCGTGGTTAAACACCTCGGAGCCAGGCAGCAGGCGGCCACGCTGGCCATGTGCCTCTGACCGCTGCGTCCCGCAACCGGGGGAAGGGGAAACAGCAGCCTGTGCCGCCAAACCCCAGCTGCCACCGCCATGACTACAGGCTGAGTCACCCCCACAGAGAAAAAGCCCCTCTCCGGAGGGACCCCTCCCCTCCCACATCCGGCTGACGGCAGGAATCACTGCCTGGCAGAGGCGGAGGCGAGGTCAGCGGTGGGGAAGCTGGGGCCCAGCCCCCAGCCCTGCAGGGGCAGCTCCCGGGATGGGGACGGGGGTGAAAGGGGAGGCTGACCCCTGCCTTTCAGGATCTGAGATGAGGCAGGAGTGACTGGAGCAAAGCGAGGCCCTGGGGTGGGTGCTGCCCACCTGGGCCAGGGGAGGAAGCCCCGTGAGGCTCTCGGGACGGGCACACACTCCCAGAGACCGGGTTCTGCCTGGGGAATCTGGGCTGTGCATCCCACGCAGCCTCTGCTGCAACAGGACATCTACGTGCTGCAGGCAACGAGTCAGCTGCGCAGGGCAGAGGCCCCTTTCCAGGTGGCTGGAAGGTAGCAGAGGCCTGGGCAGCCGGAGTGGGGCTGCCAATGTCCCGGGCCCTGGTTCTGGCCCAGACGTGAAGCTCAGCCCCTTAGGATGTCTCTGGTCTGCAGGACAAGGTACTGAGTGTGACAAAAGTGAGGGTCACCCCTCCGAGCTCTTCCATGAGCCCGGCAGTTAGGGCCTGATTTGTGTCTCCCCGAACCCCCAAATTCCTATGCTGAAATCCTAATGCCCAGGACCTCAGGACGTGACTGTATTCAGAGAGAGGGACTTCGAGAGGCGATGAAGTAAAAATGAGAGGCTTAGGCTGGGCCCTAATCCAGCATGACTGATGGCCTTCAAGAAAAGGAAAGCTGGGGGGCCAGCCCCGTGGCCAAGTGGTTAAGTTCGCACGCTCAGCTTCTGCGGTCCAGGTTTCGCTGGTTCGGATCCTGGGCGCGGACATGGCACCGCTCATCAAGCCATGCTGAGGTGGCATCCCACATGCCACAACTGGAAGGACTCACAACTAAAATATATAACTATGTACTGGGGGGATTTGAGAAGAAAAAGCAGTAAAAAAGAAAAGGAAAGCTGGATACAGAAAACGGGTGCGCAGAGGGAGGACCATGTGAGGACACGGGGAGAAGGCACCATCTGTTAGGAGAGAGGCCTCAGGAGAAAACAAACCCGCTGACACCTTCATCTTGGGCCTCCAGAACCGTGAGAAAACCGTTTTCTATTAAGTCAGCCAGTCTGCAGGCTTTGTTACGGCAACCGGGCCGACCAAGACACTAGCCCTGGGCTCAGACCTCGGGCACGTTCCCTCGTCGACTCCTCAACACAGCCCTGCGAGGGACAGCTCTGCTCAGCCCCACTTTTCCCAAAGAGGAGACAGGCTCAGAGAGGCAAAGTTACTGGCTTGGGGACACACAGCTTAGGGAATGGCAGCACTAGGGCTCAAACCAGGACCAGCTGCCTCCAGCCAGACCTGGAGACTTCCTGCCTGTGGGGTCCTCAGGGTCAAGCTGAGAAAGGAAACTGCATTCCTCAGTTCTGGGCAGCAGGCAGAGGGGGACCACGGTCAGACAGGAAGAGGCCTGACCTCTGCACCCAGGCCTACCCCCAGGGCTCAGCTCGGTGCCCCGGCTGCCTCTTGCCACCCCCAGCTGCTCAGGAATGCAGGATGTGAGGGGGCCCTGGGACGAGCTGGCGTCCACCCAGCTGGGCCTCCTTCCCCACCCACCCCCCACTTCCTGGCAGTCCCGGGGGAGAGCAATTCCAGGTTCCACAGATTCCAGGCCCTGCCTCCGAGGAAACAGAGAACTTTCCCACAGTCCTCAGGGTGGAGGAAGCCTCCTCTAAGACCAGCCTCGTCAGCTCCAGAACAGCTTCCTGCTACAGGTGCCCCCCCACTGCTCTCCCTGGACCCCCTCCCTGCCCACAGCACCCCACACCCAAGGGGCCCCCCTCAGCCTCCCAGCTGAGCACCCACTATGTGCCAGGCACGGGGCCAAGAGCTCGCCGGAACCAGCTCATTTACTCCTCCCAAGAATCATGCAAAGCCAAGTTTGTCTTCATTACCATCATGCACACGGGGAAGCGAATTGTGGCTCTTCTCCATCTTGTTCTGTCCCCACCCCCAACCTGGCCTGGGGTCACCCTGCCAGGTCAGCCATTAGCCTTGGAAACCGGGAGACAGTGGAGCTGGGCCAGGCATGGGGGCAGGGAGAAAGGGAAGAAGGGAGGAGAAGGGAGTGTGCCCCGGGCCAGGCAGCCAGAGCCCAGATCACCTCCACCCAGTCCTGGCCCTCCAGCCCCCGGGGACCTGGGAACAGGAGGCCCTTTGTGGGCAGCAGGGCCAGCCCAGGTGGCAGGGGTTGGCCTGACTCAAGACTGGGTTCCTCCCACCTGGCAGATCCCAGACGGGCAGAGGCGGCTCTGGAGAGCTGAGGGGAGGGTGGGGTGAGCAGAGTCACCGCAGCGGCCTGGCCTCCCAGTGAGGGTGCCCACCCTGACCATCCACCGCCCTGTGGAGCTGTGCCCGAGGCTAGGAGGGTGGGGTGGGGGCAGCTCCCTCCCTGCCACCCTAGGCCAGGTCACCAGAAATGAAGTTCAGAGTCCAGGGCAGGGCGGAAAGACCCTCAGGGCCCCAACCCCCCCCACCCCCCCACGAGACAATGATAAGCCTTTCTGCTCAAACTCCTTGGAGCCCCAGAAAGGCCCTCCAGACCTGCCCCCAGGGCCCCCTCCAGCCCCCTTTCAGGCCCCTCCTCCCCCCACTTCAGGCCTCGACCTGCTCCAGCCTCTGGGCCCCCCTTCCAGCTTCCTGTCGCCTATTTCTGGAACGCTCCTCCTTCTCCTGGAAGACTACTCATCCTTCGAGTCTCAGCTGAACCATCGCCTCCTCAAGGGAGCCGCCCTGATCGACCCCTCCCGTACGCAGGATCAGCACCCCCAGGACACCCACTCCCAGGGTGGCTCCCGCGCAGCACCCAGCACAGCTGTGACTCATCACCCCTGGTGTCCTCATCCGTTTAACATCTCCCTCCCCAACTAGCCTCCCGGCAGCATGGGCGCAGGGACCATGGCTTGCTCCCTTGTTGCATCCTCAGTGCTCAGACACTAAAAGTGTTTGTTGAATGAATGCTTGAGCTGGAAGAGACCTCATAACTTTACAGATGAAAACATGGAGGCCCTGAGGAGGAAGGGAACTCCCATAATCCCAGGAAAGAGATCAGATCATTAAAAAAAAAAAAAAAAATCTTCATCAAGCATTGAGTGGATTCTCACTGTGAATCCTCACAAACCCCTAAGACACAGGGGGCATCGTTATCCCCATTTACAGGGGCGGCGAGAGGTCACAGGGCTAGAAAGTGGCAGAATCAGGATTGTGATTCTGTGACCCAGGGCCCAAGAACTCAACAACGAACCCCTCTGAGAACAACTTCTGAAACTTTTTCTGAGCCACAGAGAACTATTTCCATTGAGGAAGAAGGTTAAGGGTAATATCATAATGGTTTCTTACAACCTCAGAAGGAAAATTCAACAGCTCATAGAGCAGGATTGCCACACCACAGGCAGCCACTAGGTGTCACTGTTCAGCACATACCCCAGGTGAGCCCCGCTCCCCACCGCTGCCCCGGGCAGGAGGGCCTCACCATTGTTGCAGTGCCGGATGCAGTCCTGCAGGACCGCCTGCCACTTGTCCTGCTCGGCTTCCGTCATCATGCAGAAGTAGTAGTGACGTGCAGAGGGATGCCAGAGGATGAGCGGGAACTGTGTGGGGCACTTGAGGATGGGGGCGGTGCCTGATTTTGATGTGGTCCCTGTGGAGACAGTGTCCACTGAGCAGCTACCCTTTGCAGCCAGAGGCCAGCAGGCCGCTGATCCCTTGGCCCCACTCTGACGGGCAGGCTCAGGCCCAGAGAGGGTTGGCCTGCCCCGGGGTGACCAAGCCTGTCCCCGTGTGTCCTCCACAGCCTGGCTAAGGGAACCTCAGAATCCCCCGGCATCTGCTCAGACCCATTTCTTAGTGCTGGTAATGAGGTCACGCCCACCTCCCTCTTGGAGAAGGTTCTAGACTCCGTGCATGAGGCACCAACAACACAGGGTCAGAGCTCTCAGGGTCAAAGGCCAAGCATTACTTTCTTGGGTTTCCTTCCAAATTTCAGCTGTGGAGGCCAAAGTGTGGTTTAAATGTCCAAGGTGGGAGGGAGGTATGTGGTGGACAGAAAATAAATAAAAGGGGATTTTTCTCTCTCTTTCTATGTTGTCCACATGGATATTTGAGATCCAGTGAGATGAGCAGTCCTGGGCCGTGACCTCGCCACTGTTGTTAATAATACAACAGTGACAGTTCTTCTCTGCGCCCTGAGCCTGTGTCCCTGTGCTGGGCTCAGGGCACACAGCACCTCGTGGGGTCTACATGACACCCCTGGTCAGTCCTTGCAGTGCTGGGCTGCCCGAGAAGACACAGCAAAAACTAAGCCAGACTGGGGCTGGAATCCAGGATCGCCGACTCTGGCTGAGCCCCCAACCACACGGGGCGCTTTACTCCCCAGTCCTATCTGGGGGCACAAGCTGCCCCCCAGGCCAGCACCTCCCCCTCCCCTTAATTCCCCTGGGATCATCTGAGAGGCAGGTGTGTTTAGGACGGGCTTCTGGGAGTCTCTGACGGGGGTGGGGGTAGAAACAGGACGCCTAGAATAACTCCTCCGAATGCAGTACTGACTCCGCAGTTTACGAAGCAGAGTCACCTGATTGTCTCCTCCTGGGATCTCTCAAGGAGAGGGAAGGGCGGAGAGTGAGACCCCCACTGGACCACTGTGAGCCTAAGGCTCAGGAAGCAGGGGACTCAGTGGGCCCACGCTGGTCCAGCCCCAGTGCACGGGGTGGTCTCAAGGTACCCCCCTCTCAGGCCCAGGAGGCCTCTCGTCTGAGGGCTCAGGTCATGCTGGGCACCTGCCACAGCTCGCGGCCCAGCTGGTCTTCCTGCAAACATGGAGCCTGGAGCTCTGGGATCAGGGCCGCCCTCTCCCCTGGTTCAATCTCTGGGCCTGTGCTTTTTGGCCTGGGATCGGCAGTTCTTTACCTGGTAAGGAGTTGCCTACGAGCTCCAGGTACTGATCCAGGGAGGTGAGGATTTTGTAGCCTGCACTGTTGATGATGGCCCGGGGTGGCACCTGCCGCTCATAGGCCTGAGGAAGGGACAAGAGAGATGGTCTCTGGGGGTTAGGGGTGTGGCCAAGCCCAAATGCCCTCTCCAACTGTGGCTCCAGGGCCCTACTCAGTGTGGCCTGCCAAGGTGAGGATGAGGAGGCAAAGGGAGAAGAGGAGGAGGGAGTGAGGGAGAGGGAAGACGAAGAGGAGTTCGACCATCGCAGTGACTGGTGACAGGCCTCCACCTCCTACGCTTCAGCTTCATCATCTATAAAGCCAGCCTAATAACAGCTGCTACCTCCCAGGGCTGCATGAGGACTGAAATCATCCACGTAAAACACTTAGCACAGTGTCTGGCACAGCGAGGACCAGTAAGCATCGTTGAGGCCACTGTTATCACCACCACGCGACTACGGCCTCTATCAGCAGCAGCTACCACCAGCTGAGTGCTCATTACACACCAGGCGCTGTGCTAAGGGCACTGCCTGCTTCACTTCACGGAATTCTCGCAATCCGAGAGGTGGGCACCTTATTAACCACAAGCTCACACAGTTCCTAAGTAGCAACATGGGACATGAACCTGGTCTGTCTGCCTCTAAAGCCCGGGGTCTTAGACCATTAGCCTGAACTGCCCACCAACTTCCCTAGGTTCTGAGCATCACTCGAGTGCCCTGTGGGGGAGAATTAGGTCTGGGCACTGCTTTCTCACACCAGTGGAAGGAAAAAGGAGTCCTGATGTAATGGCTCATACAGGAGGGCTGCCATGCTGCACGCTGCCACTAGGGGTCCCTGTTCAACACATTTCTTGAGCATGGCTCAGAACGTCTGGGGCAAAGATTTACAAAGTGTGGTCCCTGATCATCAGGAACATCAACATCACCCTAGAACTTGTTAGAAGCGCAAATTCTTGGCCCTAATCCAGACTTGAATCAAATTTGGGATAGGACCAGGAACCTGGTTTTTTGTTGGGTTTTTTTGGTGAGGAAGATTGGCCCTGAGCTAATATCTATTGCCAGTCTTCCTCTAATTTTCTATATGGGACACCACCAAAGCATGGCTTGACAAGTGGTGTGCAGGTCCGCACCTGGGATCCAAACTCATGAACTCCGGGGCCGCTGAAGCGGAGCACGTGGATTTAACCACTACGCCACTGGGCCAGCCCCGGGAACCTGTTTTCTATCGAGCCCTCCAGGGAATTCTGATGCAGGCTGTCATTTTGAGAACCACTGCCCAGGGGCATCAGGTTGCTCCTGACCCTGTTTATGTTACTCTAACGCCGATTTTCCTTGAAACAGTCGGAACTCCGGCCTGTCCCGTTGGCTGCTCTGGAAAAAGGTTTGGTAGAAGAAATTGGGTCTGTGGCTTAAGCAGGAGGGGCTTCCCCAAGGGCCCAAAGCAAAGAAAAGGAACAATCGCAGGACACTTATCAACACACTGCAGAGCAGGGAGCTGTAACAGGGTCGGGGGTGCGGGGGGAGGGGCAGAATCAGGAAGGAAAAAGATGGGACCACTACCCAGGGGTAAGCTGGCCAGACTCACGTGCTCAGCAGTCTGCCGTGGCTGAGGGGAGAACAAGAATGGAGGCGAGGGGCGGGGGGTGTGGGGCGATGGGGTAGGAACCCCAGCCAGGAAGGAGGCTGAGGAGGGAGGGGCTAGGGCCCTGGAAAGGAAGAGGTTGCAGGGCCTTGAGAGCAACTGGAGCCTGGGGCTGCAGGGGGGCTGGGGGGGATGTAGGAGCTGGTGAGGAGCCGGTGGTGCACGGAGAGGTAGTGAAAGGTGACCGCAAGATCTGGGGGCCTGGCTTGATGAAATGCCATTTAGAGAGGGCACCCAGCAGAGCAAGCAGGTGTGGGGAGGAGGGGGCTACTGACGTTCTTCTGTGGCCCTGGGGACAGCCAAGGGGGGATGCGGGGTGGCAGGCTGAGGATGGGGGCCTGCAGCCTTGGGTTTGGGAGTGGGGGGCATGCAGTGATAACTGGCATAGAGCAGGATGGCTGGCGGGGTGGGCGGAAGCACGGGCCTGGCTGGGCCCGGGAGGAGCCGGGCTGGGGCCTCACCGCTCTGTTCTCGTAGAGGACCAGCCCGTAGTTGTGGGGCACGAGGCCAAAGCGGTTCCTCCACTTCTTGTTGTCCTCCTGGTACTGGAAGAGGTTCCCCGAGAAGACGATGCGCTCATCCAGCGGCACCTGAGGGAGGGAGGGGGTGGGGAGTGAGGCCCGGCAGGAGCGGCAGTCCCCCCAGAAGGTAAGAGCCCGGCCAGCAGCGCCTGCGAGCTCGCCCCCTCTGAGCACACCCTCCATCCTGATCTGAGTCCTCACGCGGCCCTGCTGTGTCGCACCCATTTGGCAGATGAGGAAAGCGAGGCTCAGGGCAAGAAAGGCCCCCCCCAGGGTCCAGGTGGAGCAGGGGTGATGCTGGCACTTGCATCCAGGCCAGGCAGCCCGATTCAGGGCCCAGCCAGCACCACGTCTCTCGCTCCATCGTGGCCCTAGGTGGGCACAGCTACCTGGGGATGAATTGGCAGCAGGCTGCTTCCACATCCACCCACCACCGCAGCGTGGGTGCCGCGCAGTCACTCCAGCAGGAGGGGACATGCCCACAGGCCGGGCGTGTGAAGGCCCCAATGCCTGGCAAGTCTCTCTCCAGCTCTGGGCCTCAGTTTCCCCTCGGGACAACAAAACCTTGACCAAGGGGGCTCCAGAGAGCCTCTTCGGCTCTGACCACTGGCAGATGGCCCCCCATGAATCTGGGGATAGGGGTGGAGGGGACCTCAGTCTGGAAGGCTCGATGTCTGACTGGCGTCCTGGCAGACTGGTGGGCAGTGTGGTCTGGCCTTGCTGCAAAGCCCCAGCTCTGACCCTACCCCTGACTCAGTCGGACAAAGACACCTCTTTGAACCTCAGTTTTCTCATCTGTAAAATGGGCACCGTGACAGCACAGACTTCATCGAGGCAGCTCGAGGATTCTGAGATGACACAGGCAAAGTTCCCGCAAGCAGTGGGCACCTGGCAGGCAGAGCACTCAGCTCCCAGGACGCGGGGACCGCCCTGGCCACGCTGAGGACGACTCAGCCTGTGTCAGTCTCCTAGCTCCACGGCCTGACCTATTCAGGGACGGGAGAGGGTGGCCATCCGGGAGAGAGACTTCCTGAGCAGACCAGCACCAGGAGGCTTCGAGAAAGGAGACACAGAGGCCAAAAGGGAGCAGGCTTACTCCTGGACGGTGGAGCTCGGAAGCCTAAGTGTCCCTGGGTTTCTAGGTAGCTCCTGGGCATTCTAGGATAAATTTGGTGCCTTTTACAAAAAGAAAGGTGTATGATAAGTAATAATGGGGGAAAGTGTTATTTTACTGGTGCCTAACCCTTCCTAGCTTCCTCGCTCCGCTCCTGGGTCTGCTCCCGGGTCAGGTGCCAGCCCAGGCCCTGTCTCTTCACACGCAGCCCCCTCTTCCCAGCAACCTCCCTGCCCCTCTTCAAGGGGAAATGCCAAAACACTCTTGGAAAATGAGGACCCATTGTACTCAAACAATAGGGCCCCCGCAGGCCGCTTCCTACCCAGGGATAAAAATATTTACAGGAAAAGAAAATGGTCCCCCATCGCCCCCCCACCCCCCCACAGAGGGCTTTGCCCAAGTCACAAAGCTATGCTAAGTGGTCTATATTTAGACTGGGCCTCCTCTCAACCCAGCTCTCTAGTCTTTTCTAGAAAGAAGGAGCAGACAAAGCTCTTCTGACACGCCCGTTAGCCCCTCACCCCCCAGGGGCTGGTTTATGTCCTCCTGCCCGCTCAGGGCAGGGGCCCAGGACTCAGGGCCAGCGGGGGGCTGCAGTCGAGGACCAAGCTCACCCCCCCCACCCCCCAAGTCCTCCCCCAGATCCTTGGGCAGCCCGGGAGCGGTGGGTAGATGCGGGTTTGGGTTTTCCTTCTAAGACGTTCACAGGGTGGAGTCGTGTGTCCACTGGAAAGCCTGCAGGAAACGAAAGGGACCCAACAGGCCAGGCGACATGTCTTGGGCTCTGCAAGGGTCCGCAACTCCACCACCCACACCAGGGGAGCGTAGACCAGCGGCTCCACCTCTCCCAGCCTCAGGGTCCACATCTGTGCCTGCAGAAAACAACCGCTGTTTTTATTATGACTATCGCTACTGCCACTGTATTATCATTAGCTCCATTATTGTGTCTAATAGAACAATTGGTATTATTACGGTGATGATGATTAATATTATTATTTCTATTGTTATGATATTACCATCATGACTTAGCACCCTGATGGCCAGCTTCCTAAGTGGCAAAATAGGACCAAAAGTCCCTGCTTTTCAAGGATTGTGGGTGATGTCATTTTACTCCTCTTTCTTACGTATTACTTCTGTTTTCCCGCAATGACTCTGCACCACCGCGAGTGTTAAAGGTGTTTTCGCGTGGGGTAAACATCTGGCGCTGTCAGCAGCCCCCGCTTCTGCCTTGGGTTACTGGGACCTGGGCAGCCTGTGACATTTCTCTCCAGCTGGGGAGCAGTTAGTTCCAGCTCTGCCCACTCGAAGTGGCTCACCTGGGCTGGGCCCGAGGCCACCCTCCCTAACACACAGATGTGCACCTGGCAGACACCCAGGCCAGCCACAACCCCGGGCACCTCTGCCCTCCTGTTGTCATGGGGTCAGGAGGACACCATGACACCAGGGGAATAAACAGCCTCTTCTGGGTCCAAAAGCAAAGGGGTGTGTGATGCTCTGAGAGGCTCTGACACACAGCCCTGGCCGTCCCCCTCCAGGTCCTCAGCTGAAGATGCCCTTCTTCCAGGAAGCCCTTGTGAGCCACCCAGACAAGGTCAGGCCCCCACTGTCTGAGCTCACTGTCATCTCCCTCACAGCACCCACTTTATTGTGTAAGCGGCTGTTTACTGTCTGTCTCCTCGAGTGTCCGCAGGGCCAGCAAGGGCAGCGTGGCCCCAGGACCTGCCCTGACACTGTCAGTGTGTGTCCACGCCTGTGGGCCAGCCCACCTTCTCTCAGGGTCATCCCCAAGTCTCCTCAGCAGCTCCCACACCCCCTCCAGCTGTTCCTCCTGCTGAGAGAACATCAAAGGGTCACAAGACCTCAAAGCCGGGTCAAGCGATGCCTGCCCCTGCCCCTTTAGTCTCACGGTAAAGGGGCCCATTTTCAGCCACCTGGTTTTGGGGGAGGGTGGGGAGAGGAGGGAAACAAGCCCACCCCTCCCTCCTGGGGCCTTCACAGGCTGTCTCCCTGTCCCCTCACTGTGCCCAGCCGGTCCCCTTCCTGAGAGGCCTTCCCAACCATCAGAACCCCATCTGACCTCCAGAGCCCCATGAAATCCCCACCCCTTCCACGAAGCTGCTCTGACTCCTGCGGCCCACGATGACCCCTCTCTGAATGCCATTTCACAGAGAAACTGAGGCTCAGCAAGGCGAAGTCACACATCAGGAGCTGCCCAGAAAGTCAGGACTCACGCCCACCTTAGTAATCTCACCTGCTGCCCGTTACCACACCCCCTGTATTCTCTCACCAAATCCTCCCCACAGAGCCGTGAGTACCCGTTTGTCAGACAAGGAGACTGAGGCTTGAAGGTTGAATCAACTGCCCAAGCCACTAGCTACTAAGAGGAATTGGACTCAGGTCACCCTGAGTTCTTTCCCACCAGACCACGGGGTTCCAGCCTCGGTCCCTCCCCTACAGCACTGCCCCCAGCACCTCGAAGCCTGGGCACAGGCTGACCTAGGCAGCCCAGAGGAAGCCAACAGGATAGGGCAGGGAGGTGTGACAAGGTGAGCGAGGTAACTTTGCAGCCCACCAACCACAGACCTCAGCCACTAATGACCTGAACGCCAGATGCCGGGGTCGCCTGGCTGGCCTCATTTGGGCCCCACTCCCAGAGCGATTGGCTCAGCCAGTCAGATTCCCCAGAGGGAAGCTGGTGGGCACTCTGCCCAGGGGCCACCAGCCAGGAGTAGGTAGCCTCCAGGCCGCTGCTTGGCCACTCTAGGGCCAGGCCACCTGCTGAGGGGGTGGGGCTGGCACCCTCCCTCAACATCACCTCTCCCTCTGCCACCCGCCTGGCCATCCAGGGAGCAGAGGGTGATGGTCATGGAAAGAGAATGACCCAGGCCTGGAATGTGCGGTGCCCTCAAAAGAGACTTCCCAAGGCTGAAAAGGAGGCCCCTGCACCACCCCCAGAGCAACACGCGCTGGCCTCTCACTGCAAATGGCCAGACCCAGGACCGGCAGCTTCCAGCTGGGCACTCAGAGCCCTATCTGTGTTCCTGACATTCCCTCACCTCCTCTGCGCCATTCCCGCCCAGCCTCACCCGGGGACCCATCACAGATCCCCTTCCCAGGAGGCTCTGCTGGCCTTCTCTGGCCCATACTGACCCCACACAGCTTCCAGTCCCTCGCTCGACAAATCCTTACCGGGCAAACATCATCCTACTACTAATAGTGGGATAATGACAGGGCCGGGGATGCCGACAGTGTCTGCCAGCACCCACCGAGAACCGTCCCTGTTCCAGGCTCCGGTCGACTCGACTCTAATCCTCACAGCCAGCCAGTGCAGGAGGCGTTCTCAACCCATTTTACAGATGAGTAAACTGAGGTCCCAGAGGTGCGCTAATTTGCTCACAGGCACATGGCCTGGAAGAGGAGGAGCTGGGCTTGAACCCAGGCCTGTCCAGACGACTCTGGAGCCCAGCTCTGACGAAGCAGGGGTCAGCTGGGAGGAGTCACCCTCGGCGATCCAGGGGCCTGGACAACACCATCGAGTTATCTTCTGATTCAGAAGCTGGGTGGGGCCCTTACAGACCATCACGGCAACAATGGGAAACTGAGGCCCAAGTAAGCAGTCACGGGGGCGAGCAGGTGTCAGAGCCTGCCCTGCACCCTCTGGGCACCCCTCACCTTGCGCCACAGCAGCTGGGTCTGCGGTGCCCCCGTGCCCTCGATCTCGTGGCGCATGCTGTTGAAGAGGGCGACGCCATACTGGTCCTCGTAGAAACGAAGGAACTCTGCCAGGATCTTCCCAGTCTTTTCTGAAAGGGAAGGACAAACAGGACCGTGAGGTCATCATGGTTACCTAGGCACAGCGACCCTGCCCCGGGGAGGGGTGGCCACAACGCCCCACACTCCTGGTTGTAAAGTTGTTTGCACAAGCTCCGCATTTTCATCCACACCGCGTCTCTGGCCAGCACTGGGCATTTCCTGCACACAGTGGGTGACCCTCCAGCCGGGAAGCGGGGCGATTACCGGAGCCAGCGAATCCCCGATGAGAAAACACAAGAAACTAACAGACGAGCAAAAGAGGCTCAGCCTCCCGGTCAGCAAACACACGCAACCGGCACCGACAGCCCGGTCAGACCGGGCGGGACGTGGGGCCCAGACGCCTTCACCAGGCCGCGTGCTGGCAATCGGGACGGCCTTGTTGGAGGGTCACTGGAGCTGTGGGTACCGTTTTAAGGGGGCATGCAGTGCCCTCTGATGCCTCCCCATAGAACTCGAGGGAGAACAGCAGGCAAATGCACACCAAAGCCATCACCGGAACGGAGCCAGATGCGTGCGTGTGGAGAATGACCCAGCACAGCACGGCCCCCGGCACAGGAAGAAGACGGAGGGCATCCACAGGCACACGTCCCAACCGAGGGACGGTGTCCACACCCCCCACATACAGAATCACACGCTGCCGATCATCTCATTCAAAGGGACTCCTGTTGTGCGGATAACCGATCTCTGCCCAGAGACAGAGGACCAGGTCCCGGAGGCAGCCCTCAGACCGCGAGGGGTGGGAGCTCCGGGCGCGGGAGTGAGGGGCCCGGAGGGAAGTTCATTTTCTGCTTTATTCACTTTCATAGTGTTTGAATTATTTTACAAGCATGATTCCTTCCACAATAAAAAATAAACACACTAAAATTAACTCATCTACCAAGTTAACAACCTTTTTACTCTCACTGGCCGTTGGCTTCTCTTATGGGCTGAAGCTGTTTCTGAACAGAGACGGTGAGCGCTGTGGCCTCCGGAGCGGGCCCAGCACCCATCAGACACCCAGCATTTGCACTGCCTGGTTGTCCCCATATAAGGATGAAGCAAACAAGGACCAGAGAGGGTTGTGACTCATGATGATGAGGCCTTCTCCTTGGGACAGACTTCTCGGTCCTGAGTAGCTGGGGTTTGTTCCGGCCCACTGTGCAGCTCCCCTCTCTGGGCCTCAGTTTCCCCCTGTACACTGAGAGGACTGGACTCAGTGATGGACAGGCCCTGCCACCTCTGACAGCCTTGGATTCCAGATTTCGAAGAGCTGGTCCTTTCTCAAAAGAGAACAGCCTGACATGACGCCATCCCTCCCAGGGCTGGTCTCTGGATACGACGGGCACCCAGCTAGGATACTTCATTTAATCCTCTCAATAGCTCTGGGAGGTAGGGCTCGTGTTATCCCCATTTTAAGAGATGGAAACTGAGATCCAGAGAGGTTAAGTCACTGACACAAGGTCACACAGCTAGTGGAGCTGGGATGAGACCTGGGAGCCAGGCAAGAGGTGGTGGCCGGGGAGGAAGGATGAAAGGGTGTGCCACATCCCACACCCCTCCCTCAGGGTCTCAGGCGGGCCCCCCTCCCTCCACTTCTTGCAGAGGCTGCTCAGCCCAGGGACCCCTCCACGGGCCTGGCCCTGCCTGTGCTCCCCTTTCCCAGAATGAGGTCATGTCTGTCCAGATTCTGTTTTGGGGGAAGGAAGGGGAGAACAAATGAGGAATTTGCTTTGAATGCCTATTTCCTAAAAACCGTAAACAACCAGAACTCTCTCAAAGACCATGGGAATTGTTTTGAAAAATGATGAGGCAGTGTGGGGGCAGGGGGAATGGGGTAATGAATTGGGGCCAAATGGACAAAATAGGATCAATATTTGTTTATCAAATAGACAACAATAATATTGATAAACCACGTAATCGTCATCATTAGAGCTGCCATTTATTGAGTGTTAACCTGAGCCAGTGGGTGGGCAAGTTTTAGAGGCATGATCCCCAAGAATCGTCACGAAAACCCTTGGGAGTCAGCGCTACTGTTTTCCCATTTTAGGGATGAGGAAGCTTGCGGACCCAGGACTGGAGAGCCAGGTTCTCAGCCGCCAGCCCCTGCAGCCCCAGCCCACGGTTTTGTCCTGACTCTGCCCCAAGGAGCCCGACACCCAAGAGGCCCTCTCCCAGCGTGCAGGGTGCATGGCTTGGGCCCTGGGGCCCTTCGGCCATGGCTCTAGGACGCCTGACCCGGCCCTGGTGCACCCCGCCTCAGAGCATTAGTTCCAGAAGGGCCGAAATCTGCCCTGACCCTTGAGGAGCCAGGCCCAGGAGAAAGCTGCTGCCCTGTGTCAGGACTCGAACTCGGGTCTGACTCACAGGATGCTCTCAGCTGCTGGGTCAGCAAAGCCCAGACATCGAGTCCAGGCAGGGAGGGGCCACATTTAGAAGGCCCCCGGGGCTGGAGTAGGAGGGAGGACAAGAAGGGCACAGCACAGCCAAGAGGCCCAGGCATCAATCCACCGAGGGGCGTCCAGAGGGGCGTCCAAGTCCACGTAGGGTGGGGCTGTGGGAGGGAGAGGAAGCCAGCGGAGGCTGAGGAAGTGAAAAGGGAGAACGAGGTGACCCAGACAGAGCCAGAAGGCACAGAGGAGGCTGACAGGCGGAAGTGCCCGGGCTGAGGGGGTGGGGCTAGGTAGGAGGCCAGGAAATTCATTCAGGACCCCTCACCTAGGGATGCAGGACCCCTCACCTGGGGATGCAGACAAGGTATCCAAGTGAGACGGGGGACCAGGAGCAGAGGCGTGAGGACAGGGGTAAGGCACCAGGCAGAGGGTGGAGAGGAGAGGGTGCGAGCAGAAACTCGAGGGGTGCCTCACTCAACGGAGAAGGAAAAGAGGAGGCAGCCCGCACCCCAAACAGACGGCAGTGGCCCTGGGCCCAATTTCACCTGCAATGACAGGCATGCCTTGCTACCCACACTCGAGAACCGTATTGATCTGATCTGTTTTCAGATAAATCCTTCGCCACCTGAAATTCCAGAACCAAACAGATTAGGAGAGTGTGGGGTCTCCCACGACCCAAACTTCTCTCCCAACTCAGGAGCTAAACGGACTGGGAGAGAGAGGATGCTGGCATCTAAGGATTGACTGCCAACCCCGGGAGGGTGAGCCGGCACCCTTTTGCTCTACGCTGGATCTCTCTTGCTCAGCCCTGTGGCCTGGCACAGGCAGGTGCTGGGCAAGAGGGGTCATCCACCCTCTAAACAGCTCTTGAGGGCCCACTGTATGCCAGGCCCCCCAGGGGTGGGGAAGCTGCCGGGCAAGGGGTGCGGACCCCGGCACGCCTGGGGGGGTTCAGGACTAAGAGGAGGGTCCCCCCGGGCAGCACAGGGAACCGGGCGCGCTCGGCCTCAGTTTGGAAAGGGAAGACTGTGGGGAGGCAGGGCCAAGGCTGGCTTCTTGGCAGAGGCAGCCCCGAGCGCATTCTTGAGAGATAGCCTAAGACAGCTTGGGAGGAAATGCCATGTGCTTGGTACAAAGGATGTGCCGCAGGAAGGCAGAGGATGAAGACTCAGGATGCTGTGGGGGGCCTGGGCAGGTGGGGGAGGGGGTCCAGCCTGGACAAAGGAGCCAAGGGGAGAAGCCCTCAACAGGGGCCGCCAGTGGCCTTTCAGGCCAGTTGCTGCTGGAGGACCCAGGCGGGCCCTGCAGCCCTGACAAGGCCGGGCCTCCATCCTCCTGCTGTGCTCTGGGGCCCATGAGCGCTGTTCAGCACCCCTTCTCCCTCCCTGCCACCCTGCAGTAGCTGTCTCCCTCGGGTGCCACAGGGGTTTTATGACTCAAATCCCACCACAGAGCCCTGCCTGGGTGTCTGCAGGTGGTCCCTCCTCCACACCTGCCCACCCCAGCTCTTCCCGCTTCCTCCCACGGTCTCTGGAGACACCACATGCCATGGATTTGGGGGCCTCAGAGACCAAGGCTCATCATCCCAAAAGGGACTGTGAGCCAGAGAGGATGACGGGCTCACCTGAGGTTGCACAGCCAGACCGAGGCAGTCGGGGTTCGAGCCGCAGCCTGCTGACCCCCGCCTGCTCCTGGCTCTGACCAGTGTCCACAGGGCCCGACAGGGCACCCTCCTCCAAGAGGGCAGAGAGGAAGCAGAGGCCCTGGCTGGTTGTAGCGATCCAGCTGCTGCTGGGAGCTACCGAGATGCTGGGGCAGAGCAGCCTGAGGGTGTGGGCTGGCCCTGCCAACCTTCCACATTTTCTCACCCATCTCAGCCCCAGGTGCTATTGAATGAGAAGCTATGGGGGGACAGATGGGGCCTGCCCTCCAGCCCCAGCCTCCCAACCTCCTGGTCAGGAGTCCAGGGTGAGGGCTGGAGTCCCGGTTCTGCCAGACCCCAGCCCAGGAAGACGCCCAGCTCTCTCAGAGCCTCAAGTTTCTCATCTGTAAAATGGGCGTAACAGAATCCATTCACAGTGCTCTGCAGGGCCAGGACAGCATTTGAAGGGCTCGGCTCAGGAGCTCTGTGAACGTTACTATTAACCATCACAGTGCTCAGCTTATAAGAACAATGGTAAGGGACTGTTTGAAAATTCTTTAGCAGGTATAACTTTTGCAGTGTGAAAAAAATCCAATCAAGACTTTTTTTAAACAAGAAATAGGACATACATACCGCAACTAGAAGGACCTGCAACTAAGATATACAACTACGTACGGGGTGGGGGCAGGGGGAGTTGGGGAGATAAAGCAGAAAAAAAAAAAGAAACATGTCAAGAATCACAAAATAATAATAATGATAATGATGGGTAGGTCTCCAGAGAACCCACTAGAAGAAGGAGCGGCACAGGCACGGGTGAGGGCTGTGGGCATGGAACACCCTGGAACCCAGGTGCCCACCTGACCTTGATGGACGCCCCTGGCACAATCCTCAGCCTCTGCTGGTGCCCAGAGCCAAGCACTGCCCCACTCTGTGTCCCCCTGCCAGCACAGTCCCCACAACTAGGAGGAAAGGGCCCAAG